AAGTTAGGTCCAGGGATTGGCCCCCCTGCCCCTGTTCCTGCCCCCCTGCCCCCCTGTCCCTGCCCGCCGGCCAGGAGGCTAACCGCACCACGCAGGAGCACGGAGGTCTCACGCACTGCTGGGCAGCCTCGCCAGCCAAGGACCCCTCCAGTCCAGCCCCGCTGACCCTGCCCGGGAAGGGACTCCCTGGCTTTGTTCACTAACTCCGGCACACAGCTGGGGCTCTAGGCGCACCCACGGGGCCGAAGGCCCCGCGACAAGGACCCCGCGACAAGGCGGGCCCGCGGAGGCCCCGCGCTCCGAGCGCGGCCGAACCCAGCCGCGTCCCCAGCAGGACCCGCCGCGGGGCGGACCGGCCGGGACGAGAGCCGACTGGAAAGCGAGGCCCGAGCGGAGCGCCCGAGGAGGTGGCTTCGACACACTCGGCCCCCAGGGTCGGGAACTGTGGGCGCGCACTTCTACTATTCGCGCAGAGGGACTCAGCGGAACCTGTGTCTGGGAAGGAGTGGCCCGCGACCTCCCGAGGAAACCGCGAAGCCGTCCACCCTGAGGGGCCACAGCCGGCCGTTGCTCACTTCCGGTTGCCGTCCCCGGCGCGCCGCTCTAGGCTCCCTCGGGTCCTCTCTATGATGACGACGGCCCCTCTAGCCGGCGCGCCGTCCTCTCAGTGGCAGCGCGTGGACGAGCCGGAAGTCAGTCGACGCGCGTGGAGGAAGCGCCGCCAGGTGGGAGGTCGGCGGCCCGTGGGACCTCGGGGAAGCGGGTCCACCTGTTTCCCCGCGACCCGTGGGTGCGAGCCCGCTCGGCGTCGCCGTGTCCCCTCCGCGGAGTCGCCCCTGGGGAGGGCCGGACTTCGGCCCGCGCCCCTGGGCTCCCTGCGGCCTTGAGCGCAGCCTGCAGCCTCTTGCCTGTCAGAAGCCGCTGCCAGGCGGCCGACGCGAGGCCAAGCACGAGCCCACCCGACCGCCCGGTGCCACAAGCCGGAGCCCGGGCCGCTCCCGGGAGCCGGGGTCTGCGGGCCAAGGGGAGCTTGGCGCGGAGCCTGCGGCCAGCGCGGGCCAACAGCCCGGTCGGGACGGGGGCGCCTGGGACCCTCCCCGGGAGCGGGGCCGCCCCGCAGCGGCGTTCGCGCCTGCAAAGCGGCGGTGTGTGCTCAGGAGAGGAGCCGCAGCCGCTAATAGCTGCCGGCGGCCCCGGGCTCTCCCGGGGCGCGGCCCTCCTAGGCTAGGGTAGCGCGGAGCTAGAGGCTGCGCTTCCGCCGGGAGGGGAGCCCCGGGAGGCGTTTCTTTACTTTGGTCGGTGGAGAAGCGAGCAGGGCGTGGCCCGCACCGGGGAGAGCTGACGGCCTGAGAACGCGAGGCTGCCCGGCAGAAAGGTCCCGGAGCACCGCGGCCCTTGCTGAGGCTGCGCCGTCAGTGCGGGAGCACTCGGGCGGCTCTCAGGGTGCGAGGCCGTCGCTCCCCACAGGAAAGGCCCGGGCATTCCAGGCAGAAGATGTGGTGTAAAGTGAAAACCTTTGCCGTAGTGCGCTTTGACCCGAATATGTGGCGCTTGGAACAGCTTACACCGTGCTACTTAGTAGAGCCCAGACTATTTTGTAGGAGGAGGTAGAAGGTTTTTTGTTGTTTATTTTTTTCCCCGCAGCATGGTTACACTTTGGTTTCAGTCCTTCAGCATCCTTGGTGCTACTAAGTGCTGTATTGGTGGCTGCATCTTGCAGTACTGGTTATAAAGTTAAAGTTAAAGCTATCGTAAGGGAAATCATTGTTCTGAGTTGTATTTTGTCTCACGTGCCCTGCAAATATGGGAAGGAAAGGCAGAGGCCCCTTAATCCTCAGCTCTGTCTGCTGTTGTCTCGTTCATTGTTCGGGGCCATTTCGCTGGCCGTGCATCAGTGAGCACTTCCCAGGCAGGCAAGAACCAGCCCTGGGAGATAGGTCAGCATCCTCAGCCCCTCCACCTTCCTTACTTTATAGGTTGGTAATGGGTAGCGAGAGAGAGCACTTGCTCATTTTGAACCTGAGCAATGCATTTACGCTGCGGAATTCCCTGGCTAGCCATGTTCAAATTAGAAGGAACACATTTTTGTTTACTGCTTAAGGTGTGTGATAGATCTATTGCACATTTTGTTCTCTCTTGATCCTTTCAGTCACGCTATGAAAAGAGTAAAGGTGAATCTTAGAATCACACACATCAGACTAGTATGATTCTGAAGAAATAAACAGGAGAAAGTCCAAAATGAAGAATTCTTAAAAGTCCAAACAACTATGGGCTTGACAAGGTGAGGAGAATATTGCAGAGGATCATTCTGTGAAAGGAAAAGGATCTAGATGGGAAGAAGTTAGGAAAGACCTGAGGTGTAGCAAAGAAGTAAACTGGGAGAACAACGTCTTGCCTTGAGAGGAAGCTGTGGAGGTTGTGGTGCTTGTGTTTGCTGGCTATGTAGCTGATGATGGCAAAATTTCAGGGACCTGGGGGAGATTAATTTGGATTAATAAGCCTTTTGTTGTACTTAGCCCTTGGGGACAAGCTGTTAGCAGGTCATTTGTGAATTTATACATGAAGCAGAAGAGAACTAGGAGGATTTTGGCTTGATCAAAGGTAAACAAAGGGCTTCATCCTCTTGCATGAAATGCTTGAGGATTTAATTATGGCCATTAAAGAACCAATGTCACAGGGCTGAGGTAGAATACAGCTTGTCACAAAGTGTACACTAGCCCATTCAGGAATTCAGTGCTAGTGTGTTTGTAAGTGTCTAACAATAGGTATAGCTTTGAAAATATTTTACTCTGGTTTCATGTGCATTATGGTGAAATTTTCCTCGGTTTGGAGAGGAAAACCCAAATTAATGATATCTAAGTTAACAAAAGGGTTTTTTTGTTTTCTTAGATATCATAGGAAATGAGATTTTTTTTTTCCCTTCTGTTGAAGATCTTAGATATCCTGACCAAAATGATTGGCTGAAGTAAGTCTTTTCTTGTGTGAAAAGATAATTTTCCACAAAAGGAAACGGGGCTAAATTATGACTGTCACATGAGTGTAACCACATACTTGAAGGACTTGTGTCACTGTTCAGTCAGGTAACTGGTACGGTTTTAGAAGTGGTATGATGTTAATAACTTAAGGTGTTAGAAGTCAGTCCGAAAAGCATAGACACAATTTAGGTCCGGGCATCTCTTCAAGTGTGGATTCTGATTCTGTAGGTATGGGGCTAGGGCTGGTACTGGGGGTCCAGCAAGTGCCAGGGCAGGACCACAGATGATAAATACCATACTGCTGACTGCTAATTAAGGAGCACTTAGGCAGGCTGTCAGCACGGAGGAGCAGAGCCCTGTGCTGCAGTGAGAAGAACAAATGGCAGTCAAAGAAAATAAGTGTTGGAGGCTGTGTTACCAGGTTACAAATCAAAATGAGCGAAGAAACAGTAGCTAGGAAACAGATCCAAAGCAGAATTTTAGCTTAGACAGGGCAGAGAGAAAAAGCCGGAAGTTAGGACACTGCACAGGATAGCAGGAGGAGGTGTGACCGTAGAGTATAGTTGGCAGAAGGCAGACAGTGACTAGTTGTGATAGACCAGAGCCTGAAATTTGTGCTTTGTGGGCTACCCTGACTGCTTCAGCAGTACCTGAACTGACTGCCTGATTCTCAATCAGGAAGCTACCCTATGAAAGACCTTACAAAAAAGTAAAACAGCCTGCATATCAATGTCTGCACTTCCTCATGGCCATTTACCTAAGGGAGGGATATTGATATGTCAGTGAGTTTTAATCCACATGCACACTTATTTCTTATTGCAGTTGACAGTGTATCTTGTATCAGATAGGACACTTGAGCTTTAAACTCAACAGTTCCTGCAGTTTGTTCAGAGAGGATCTAAGGCTCCAGGCAGCATATTGAGGCTGAGTCTTAAAAAATAAAAAGGATTAGGGATGTAGCTTAGTGATAGAGCCCCCTGGGTTCCACCCCCAGTACTAAATAAATGTTCATTGTAGACTTCTGGTGAATACTTTCAATCCCTTGTTTTCTGGATATTTCTTTCTAAGCGAATGTCGAGTTGTATCAAATGCTTTTTCTGCTTCCCAGATAAAGGAGTTTACAACACAAATGTGTCTTTAATGCTTTCTCTAGGGTGATCGGTGTGTGACCCACAAAGGTGAGCCCTCCAGACAAAAGAGCACAGGAAGAACACTCCAGTCCAGAATGATGGATCCGTGCTCAGTGGGAGTCCAGCTTCGCACCACAAACGAGTGCCACAAAACCTACTACACCCGGCACACAGGCTTCAAGACTCTGCAGGAGCTGTCATCCAATGATATGCTCTTGCTCCAGCTCCGGACCGGGATGACGCTGTCTGGGAACAACACCATTTGCTTCCATCACGTAAAAATTTACATCGACAGGTTTGAGGACTTGCAGAAGTCCTGTTGTGACCCCTTTAACATCCATAAAAAGCTGGCCAAAAAAAATCTGCATGTCATTGACTTAGATGATGCCACTTTCCTGAGTGCGAAGTTTGGCAGGCAGCTGGTGCCTGGTTGGAAGCTTTGTCCCAAGTGCACCCAGATCATCAATGGAAGTGTGGACGTGGACTCGGAGGACCGCCAAAAAAGAAAGCCTGAATCCGATGTATGTATGGTGGTCATCTTTCCACCAGGTGACTTCTGCAGTGTGGAAGTCTCACCACCTGTGAGGAAATCAGCTCTTGTTATTATTCATTAGCAAATTAAATTTTTAATGAGGGGGGCATTCCCGGTATTTCCATATACACAGGGTCAAGATTGGGTACTAAAGTAGGCGCAGGAAGGAATGAACAAGTGAGCCCAAGACCCTGCGCTACCACTTCTGGTCTTGGACATTGCAGGGGCTTCTAGAACATGCTGGGAAAGCCAGGGCTGGCCGTGCCTGCAGCACATAGTGGCCACGGCCTCCTGGAAAGTGGTGCATGGCAGAGCGCGCCTTCATCCCTTTTCTTGCTGCTGGCACCATCAGTTTCCAGGTCTTTATGCCCCTTGCATTGGGCTGTCTTAATTCCCACCCTTCCTCTGCCCCCAGTCCTGACTGCGACTTTTTACCTCCCCGAGTAATACACTTGAACTCTTAAGCTCAGAATTTTATGTTAACAAAGCTTTTTAAAGTACTGTAGTGCAATTTGGAATCTGCAAGTGAATTCTCTGCTTGGAGGGTTCCAGAGCTGCTCCCAGCACCCTGGGTGCGTGACCTTGGCCACACACAGATCCTCAGCCTACCTTGCACGGAGCAGCAGCGGGAACGTTCCTGTGTCAGCTGGCTGCTGCCCTCCTGTGCCACAGACCAGGGTTCAAATGATGAGAGTGCTGCAGCACGTTAGCCTGCCCAGCTGAAGTGCAGTCCAGTGGGGCACTCACTTTCCTGCCCTTGATCTCTGAAGCCTTTTTTTTGAGTATATGTGTGAGGAATAATTGGGTTAACACTGAAGTATTTACTTACTGTCTGATGTCAAGATTTGAATTGCTCCTTTGCTTACCTTTACTCAGGGAAGAACTGCTAAAGCATTAAGGTCTCTCCAGTTTACAAACCCAGGAAAGCAAACAGAATTTGCTGCAGAAACTGGTAAAAGGGAAAAGCGGAGGCTCACAAAGAGCGCACCTGCTGGTCAGGACAGGTAAGTGCCTTGCTCTTCCCATCTGCTTTGTCTTCTATTTGTCTCTAAGCTTTGAGTTTTCTATATGAACATTTTCAATTGGATGATAGGAAAGTTTTAAAACTACATCCAGTGGTTGGTCTTGATTTTATTCATGTAAAGTTGAAGCATCTCGGGGCTGGGGAGATGACTCAGTGGAATAAGCGCTTCCCTGGCAAGGGCAAGGGCCTGAGTTCAATCCCCCCGGTTCCGCAAAAAAAAAAAAAAAAAAATTGAAGCATCTCTCTTAACTCAAAGGGTTTCTTTCTAAGGGTTGCAGTAAAGTGGGCAAGACATGGCGGGAACATGCGCCTGAGAATTGGGCGGTGCCCATCTTGGTGATCAGGGGTGATGGGTTAGCACTAGGTCTCTGCTCCTTGAGTAGATGCCAGCGGGAGATAATACGAGATTACTTTTAAGTTGTTGTGTATCTGAAACAGAAGCAGTTCTGTTACTGTCCACAGAAATGGATGGAAGAGCTGAACTGTTTAAAATAGGACTTTAAGTTGGATATTTCTAAAATATAAATTGCAAAATAGTATAACATTCAGAATTATTTTTAAGTGTGGTCTGCGTTTCTCTATATCAAATTTATTCCATCTGTTAAAATTTTCCATTAAGTGATTTATATATTTGTAGGCCAGATTTACTAGAGGCCATTAAAGAATAAGAAATAGGTTCATTACATTGCAAGAACCTATAAGGTAATATGCTGGGATCCAAATAAAAACTTAATATTTACAAAGCAGTGAAGAGATTGATAACCAGTAAATAAGCTACTATTAACTATTATTGTTTGTAGTAAAGGAAAAATCATTTTAACAGAAATAAATGTATTTATGGAGAAAGTTCTTACCTATTTGTCTCCGAGTGGGCACCTCCAAGGGCCCAGTCAGGCATTCTGAATTTCTCTCAGCCCTTGAAGTGAGGTACCTTCTGGCAGACGGAGGTCACTGGCTGATTGTGGGGTGCTGTGCATGGCCTGCAGATGGCACCTCCGTGGGGCCTCGGCGAGCCCACGCACCGCCCTCGGGTGCTGTCCTGAAGGTTGGCTTAGCGGCCATTGTCTGTGTGTGAGGGCAGCACTGTGCGTGTTTTGCAGACAAGTCATTCCAGCCAAGAGCAAGGTCTACGACAGCCAGGGGCTGCTCATCTTCAGCGGGATGGACCTGTGCGACTGCCTGGATGAAGACTGCCTGGGATGCTTCTACGCGTGCCCTGCCTGCGGCTCCACCAAGTGTGGAGCCGAGTGCCGCTGCGACCGCAAGTGGCTCTACGAGCAGATAGAGATTGAAGGGGGAGAAATAATTCATAATAAGCATGCAGGGTGATGCGCATTACCAAGCTGAGGGGTCTCGAAGTCCTCTATTTTGAAATTCTGTTACTCTTAACATACATTTTAAACTTCGTAGTCAAACAATAAAGACTTAAAAACCACCTCAGTGTGCAACTCATGTTGTATTTTGGATGTCCTAAAATTCATTTGGTGTATTTTTGGAGGTGGGCTGTTTCTCAGCAGTCAGCTTTAAGCCTGCCTGTGTAGGTCAGCGTAAGCTGGTAGGAGGCAGCAGTCACCACTTTACAGGGCCCTTGGGTGCCACATTCAGTGACCAGATTTTAGTAATGAGTAACACCAGCCCCCTGACAACATGCCTCAGATCGCAGGCCCCACAGTGTCCGCTGTCAACCATTCTGGCTTACAGGCCCGCAGATCCCTGGGTCCCTGGCTGGCACATTTGTCCCACAGCAAGGGGCCAATGGTATTACTCTCTGGGATTGATCCCTATGGATCACTTACTTAGTTCACTCAGGACAGAGCACTTACAAAGTTGTGTCGTCTCCTTGTCATATATGTGGTGTTTTGCAGACATGAATGATCAAAAAATATTGGCCAGCGAAGGTGGAAGTGCAGCCAAGAGGTGAACGAGAAGAGAAGTTTGAGTGAAAAATGAATGGGGTTGTAGAAGAAATGTATAGTCTTAGCAGTATTGATAACTGCCACTGTCCCTGAGATAGTAAGTGTGTAGCGGGACTCCATGAATGCGTACTTGCCGAAATAAATAAAGTGGTGGAGGTGAAAGGACTTTGCCCCAGAAGTGGCCACAGGAAGTACAGCAAGTACAAAATTGTGCACCCCTGAACAGCACAAACAAAATGGTAGCTGATCCACACTTTAGAGGTGCAGCACAAGTTACTGTGCTGTAGAAAAGATGCAGCCTTGGCGCAAGTTAGCACACAAGGCCCAGTACCACACTCTCGGCAGCATAGCAAGTTACACGCTGTCTCAGGATAGAAAAGTACTAGAGCTGTGGTTGGTTGGGAAGCCCTGGGTTCAGTCACCAGTACTGAGGAAAAGCCAGCGCAAGTTTTTCATTTCCTTTTTAACTAAAGAGTTTTTAATATTTGGAAAGAATTTTAAATGTGGGACAATCCTAACTATTGTCATTTATTTTCATGGTCCCACTGCCATACAAATAAGGGGTAGTTGGGAACAATGCCCATTTCAGGGAAAATGGAATGTTAAATTATTTTGGGAATCTATATTTAACGCTAAATGATTTCTTTCAAATTTTTTTTTT